CATTTAAAAACTTAATTATTTGTCATTTTAACCTAATAAATTGTGTATTTTATGCATATAGCATAACTTTATATTTCGAAAATTAAAGAGTAATATTAAAAAAGAAAAAAATGTATAAATTAGATTTTATATTAAAAAATAAAAATAAAAATTAGAATTCAAATTTTTTTAATGAAAAAAATCAAAGCAACCTTTTAATTTTGATCTTGTTCATTGGCGGTATCAGTGGTATCGGTCCCGGCATTAGTGGTAGCTGCAATCATTCCAGTAGGAATAGGGTTTGATTCCAGAACTTCTGAGAGGCGAGTCCTAGTTGAATCCATTTATACTAGTGTCGTTTGACCTCTCTTTAATCTAGGGATCACGCCTCGTAGAGTTAGATCACATCCACTCAAAACTCCCAGGGTTCCCTTTCTCCTAGACGTAAAATTCTAGATGATGCTTTCCATCCAGTAGCTAGAAATGTTAGATCAATATCACTTCTCTTAATATCGATACTACATGCATCAGAATTTTCGCGTGGCCTTCTGAAAAATGTAGGACTATTTGGACCATGACCACCAAGAGAATTTAATCTTCTAGTCGTTGGTAAATTTGGTCCCCTTGATATTCGATTATGGTTAGGTATACCTGAAGTGTTTATTCGCATATTCCCTGAAACTGAAGGAAGGCGAAGAATTGAGCGTCCATTACTACTAGCTGGGTCATGTGGTGGAGCAAAACTTTGTGGACTAAAAAAAAATTTTTAAGAAAAAAGATAATTAGTTTACGGTGCTTAAAAAAAGTTCAATACTTTTCACATTTTAAACATTGAAAAAAACTTGCTAAATCTAAAAAAGCTCACTTGTCTCTGTGATGAGTTAATCGAACCACCTATATTTTTTATTTGTGAGGGTCTGATAAAACCCCATAGTTTTGTCTGCAATCAAAGTAATGTTTGCCAGCAACCGAGCCGTCATTTTTACCCGAAGGTTCATCTAGCTATACTGACCCATTTTCCTGTCGCAAAAGTAATAGGTTCAATAAAACGAATGGTTCCCGTTTTTCTCTGTATCTTCTTGCATCTACTGCTAAGTCTGAGGAGGTTATTGCCATTTTCACGTTCGATACCCGCTCCAATGAGTATTAAAGTAAAATTCAAAAAAAAATTTCGAGGAGCAGAGTTTTACTTATAATATTTAAATTCTTTTTTTAATTAAAAAATTAAAAGGTAATTATTTTTTTTTTAATTAATTTAACAGATAATCAAAATAACACCCCCTTTTTTATACCTTCTCTCTTACCTATTAACTTTACCTTATTAATTTTTTTTTCTTTTTTTTTTCTTTAATGAAAAAAAATTCCCAAGCAGGCCAATTCGTTACAATATGAATTTAACAATAGTTTCTTTCTCGCATAACGTAAAATTTAACCACAAAAATAAAATAAAAAACTAAGCCCGCTCAGGTCAAGACAAATTACAACGTGATAAGCGAAAGTATGATCGTATAAAAAAAATAATCCCAATTTAGTTTGTGTTTTAACTGAACTTCTTAATACTTGCACGAGACTTGTATTACTGTGTACAAAGACCGATTAGGAAAAAAATAGGTCTGTTCTATCTTACGATAATATTTTGAGTCACGTGATATGTCCAAAAGTTGTCCAATAATAATAAATTTTGGTTTTGGACATTTTTGGACAGGATTTTGGACAGGAGTCCAAAATATCGAATTGTCCAATAATCCAACACTGCATTAGTGCTTTTGAGATAATATTTAAAACTCTCATTTATTTAAAAATTCATAATTGACAAACATTATTATGAACTGTTTAATTGTTGGCTCTCTTTCTTATTTATAGACGATTTGTGCGCGGAAAAAAAAAGTCATTTCTGTGTAATAAAATTGTTTTCGAAACTGAACCAAATTCAATTTATTAATAATAACATAATAATTAATTTTATTTCTCATAGACGCAACTATTTATTATTTTTCCTTTCACCAAAGTTTTGCGTACTTAGTACAATTGGTATTAAGATTACACTTTCAAACATAACTTATAATAAATAGGTAAAAATAAATAAGATATAAAAACATATAAGAAAACGAAGTTGCGTGATAAGAACCTCATAACAAAGGAACAATTTATATTAGTTAGGGTTTGTACAAACACACTATCCGTGCAATAATTTTTTTTTTCAGATCAAGAATCAGGATTAACTGGAATGTCATTAGTCCTTTTGCTTTGCCCACTTGGAGGAACCTGGTCGCCTATAATGAAAATAAAAATAAAAGGAACATAAGCAAAGAATTTAACATTTTTAACGCGTGAATAACTAACTACACTACCTTTCGGCCTTTTTTCCAATCTCATTGGTGCTGATGATACCGATACTAATAATACATTTAATGTTATAAGAGTGATGAGGAAGAGAACTTTTGATAAATTCATATTGCAACACGATAGAATTTTCTTATGATTATTTTCTTTTTTGAATAGTATGATAGAACTTTCTTACGAAGAAAGAGGTAAAGTCGTAACTCTTTATATAAGAAATAAATTTTCGAAAAATGATTATCACGACAATAACAAATAATACATGACCACCTAACCACACGTTAAACGTTAAAAAAATTAAAGTTAATTAAATTCGGAAATTAATACTTTTTAAGTAAGTTTGGTATGAAAACGAAAAGCATCTCCCTTAATGTTATTGGATAATTTCATTGAAATGGTAACTTTGATATATTAAAAATCCATATCTGAAACACCATATTCATTTGTATTTTTTTTCGGTTAAATAAATCGACAGGGTAAATTTTAGATCGGCATATGAGGACAAATGATTTGTCAATAATCCTGAAATAATAGAAATCCCGAAGAGAAATCCCGAAGAGCGATCCTTTGGCTAATCAATGTTGTCTCAAAGGCATCCTACTTTGTAACATTCAGTTTAATTTAATATAATTAAGTATTTTTTGCTATACTGAGTTAAATTTTCAGAATTAAACTTTAGCCTTGAATTTTTATAATTCTCTAAAAAGATCTTTCAAAAAATTGAGAAAAAAATTAGGATATTAAACTTTTGATCTAAAGTTTCTATAGAACGACTATCAAAATACCATAATATATTTGCCAAATTAGTTACAATTTTTTTCCAATATTTTGTCCTATCCATCCACCACTATTATTTTTAATCTAATTAGATAGATCTATTTGCAATAAATTATTCAAAAATACAAAAAATGCTTCATAATATTCTTAGACAGTTTATGAAGATTTCAAAGCTAAATATTAATAAAATAAAAAGAATATACAATATTTTTAATCTAAATTTTTGCTAAAAAATACTTGTAATAAGTTTAAAATTAAAAAGAAAAGTTAATTAGTATAAAATATACATGTGATACAAACTTGAAAATTGGCTAATTTGATTGGTTTTTTTTACTTTTTTTAGAAAGATCAAAATATCGCAAATCTCGTGTTTTTATCTAATCCGTTCAATCAAGGCACTAGATTATATTTTCGTCTTTGCAAAAGATTTTTTTTTACCGGTTTCGGTTTAGATTTTTGAGCTCATATATCCTTGTAGTTGTAATTTGTTCCTTTGTCCAAATAATAATAAATCTTTTGCCATTTTTAACATGGAATAATAAGTTTTTTTTTTATTTGCGCTTTATTTTTACTTCAATTGTAAAATGCAATAAATAAATTTCAGAAATATTATTTTCTTTCCCCTATTTTTAAATGAAAAAAGTTTTAAATCTGCCGTTTATAAGCAACAAATAAAGAGCGTAAGCAAGACAGATATGATGTATTTTAATCGGGACAATTGATTTTGTAATTTTTTTTTATAATTTTTACTTTTGCACTTTTACATAATTATATAATAATATCGAAAATTTTATAAATGTCACAAAATCAAATCACAATGCAACATAAAATTCATTTTAATCACACTTCTTATCACAATAAATCATCGTCCCTGTACTGGCTAAACAAGATAATGCCTTTATACGAGGGCTTCGCTGCAATGCTTGCTTTTTACACCACTATACGCTTTGGATCTAAGAAACTACTCCAAAGTTTATGACTCGTCTTCGACTCGGAGATGTATCATCTTCGTGCGGTGATAAATCGATCAAAAAAAAGGAGCTACTTATAATTTACATCCAAAACCGCGATCGTCAAAATCAGGCGAGAAAAGCTCCAAAATGATTTTTTACAACAGAAATTCTTTCGTCGTTGTCTGTTTATGGGGGGAGTCGCAGAAATGCTCGCCCTTTGCCTTTCTACGAGGGTCTCGCAGAAAATTGTAAGGAAGAAGAGGAGGAAATCAAATCCGACACCAGTTAGTCTTGTTAACAGAATTATGGTGAGAAATAATTACATATAGTAATTCGATCTTATGGATAAATTAGTAAATTAATTTAATGCATACTATTAGGAAGAATCTTAGATATTAATAAGTAAAAGTTCGATTATTCATCGGTTTTCTTTATGTAAAAGAAATCCACTTTATTGCATTTCAATAGACAATATTTGTAATAATCTACGAATAATTTATTTGTTTTAAAAAAAAAAAAAATAACGATACCAATCCCTGATTTCTATATATTCAATTAAAATTTTTTTTCAACAAAATGATATCTAATTTATTATTACTTATAACTTTGATTAAGTTTGTCTCAACAAGCCTAAAATCATGAAAATAAATAAACAATTAGTTCTTACAATGGAATTAACAATTAAACCAAAATTTCTTACGTAAACGTTCTGACAAATCCTCATCTTCTTTGTTATTTTTATCTTTCACACTAATAATATCGCTTGGAACGGCTTCACCCAACTCGTGATTCAACTCCAACCCATGCTCATCTGCTACTTGCTGCATCAATAAATCGACTTCTTCTTGTGGAGTACTTAATGATGTAGTATTACCCATTGCTCCTTCCATATATTGTGTTTGAACATCTATATCTTCAAATTGAGCTTCGAATTTATCCATCACAGCAGAGATCTATTTTAAGTTAAATTCATTCGATAAAATCCCTATTACTTTTGAATATTGTAAACTTGAATTGCTTTATATACCTGTTCCAAGTTCATATTCGCCATTGCTTGATCCATGCCTTTTACAACATTTGCCATTGATCCGGTTACCTAATGTTTTTCAAAGTTACCATTTCGAATTTTTGACAGTCTTACAATAAAAAAAGAAATTATTACCTTTTGCATGGTAACAGCGGTTTGAATTCGACTAGAGACTGCATCTATCCTTGAAGATAGTCTCAATAGGTTTAATGCCTCATTTTTTTTGCGTATAGCATTTGAAGCATATATCCGTGCTCCTTCTGTATTCTGTTGTTGAATTGCCTAAAAAAGAAGAAAAAAAACTGTAAATTTGTCCTACCAAGATTTAAGTAATTCATTCTCTAACTTACCTTTTTCAACTTTGCTTTTTCTGCGTTTTCATCTTTGGTGGCTTTCTTCGCTTGTCGAGTTAATTGTTTTGCTGTAAACTTTAAAATGGAACTCCATTAAGACTTTACATAGAATGTATTCATGTTGAAATTCTAAAGTATTCTTACTTTCAATTGAAAAAGGTGTGATTCCAGCTTACTATTCATCTTGAAAAATTAAATATAGGAGGAAAAAAAATATAAAAGTAATAGTATAGTAACAATGTATAGTGACAATATAATAATGAATATATAATAATGAATAAAAAAGGTGAATAAATAATGATTTTCAAATCGGATAAGAATCATACTGCGGTAAATTTCATTGTAGAAACTTTTAGAAATGCTCAATCTCGAAGAATTACTAAGAGAAAAATTATCCATTGCTGATATTGATTATAAGCCTCTTAGTACTTCTGAGCGTCAAATCCTTATTCTTTATGGTAGTCAAACCGGTTGTGCTCAAGATGTTGCTGAAAGGATATCAAGGCAAGCAAAAAGACGCCGTTTCAAAACTAGGATTTATTCAATGGACGCTTATGATCGGGTAAATTTTGTAGTTCTAAGAAGTTATGACTAGAGCTGTAGTGCATAAAAATCTCAAAAAAAAAAAAAAATTTTTTTTTTTTCGATAGGATAATTTGATCAACGAAACTTTAGTAATTTTCGTTTGTTCAACGACTGGACAAGGAGATGAACCTGATAATATGAAAGTATGTCGAATTGATATTATTGGAAGCAATAATATTTGAAAATTGCATTGAATTCCGTACAAATATATTTGATTCATGTAGAAATTCTGGAAATATTTATTAAGGAAAAACTTGCCGAAAGACATTTTGAACCAAATGAAATTTTCGGTTTTTGGTCTTGGTGATTCCTCATATTTTAAGTACGTTTTTAAAGGATTAATTGATATGGTCAATTAATATGTAAATACGCGTTGATTAATATTTGTTTGCTGAAGGTACAATTGGCCCGCCAAAAAGCTTTATAAACGTCTCTTAACGTTAGGCGCGCAAAGTATACTGCGACGCGGAAACGGAGATGATCAACATTATCTTGGGTTAGTTCAGGCTGCGAATTTCAAATATATTATTTAATCAATATTATTAAAATATCAAAATTTTCTTACAATGTGATTTGTCCTTTAACAGTATCGATGGGGGACTTGATCCTTGGTTAGAAGAATTATGGAAGGTTTTAATGCATATGTATCCATTACCATCCGGTCTCGACGTTTTGCCCGCGGATGTTTTATATCCTTCATTTACAAAACCAAAAGACATTTATATTTAAGGAATACTTGACATTTAAAATATACAGTTCTTAACTAATCCTTTACACCAGCCCCAAGTTTTCGTATTGAATTTATTGATCGTAAACTTGACCAGTATGATGAGAACTTGAAGCGTCATGATATTTACTCAAATTTAACTAAAAACGAACGTGTTACTTCACAAGACCATTTCCAAGATGTCCGTCATATGGAATTTAATATCAATGATTCCGATTTTAAGTGAGTTTAGATACACGGAAAAAATATTTTCATGATAATATCGTTATTCATACAATTATATATATTAGATATGAGCCCGGTGATGTTTGCGTTATTCGCCCAAAAAATTTGTCTGAGGAAGTGGATGAATTTATTAAAATGATGGATTGGGAAGAAATTGCAGATAATGCGTTTGTTCTTGTTCCTAATGATGATGAAGGTATCGTATACAAATGTAAAGACAATAATGATTCTTATACACTTTTGCTTAATAATGATTTTTCATTACAGACCGAAAAGCACCTGCACATTGGGATTCAATACTTACCTTAAGAAAATTGTTTGAAAATTATTTGGATATTTTTAGTACACCTCGTCGTTCTTTCTTCGAATTCTTATCATTTTTTACTACCGATGAGAATCAAACTGAAAAATTAAGGGAATTTTGTTCTGCAGAAGGCCAAGTACGCTACTTAAATTTACATTTTTAGAAACTTATTACTAGTTTATATATTTTATTTTAAAATGTATTTAGGATGATTTATACGCGTATAATCAACGCGTTAGACGTACTATAGTAGAAGTTTTGCAAGATTTTCCATCAGCTAAAATTCAATTAGAATATATACTTGATATGTTTCCCGAATTACAACCAAGACAATTCTCAATATCATCATCTTCAAAAGTTCATCCAGGTCAAATCCATTTAACTGTAGCAATAGTTCAATACAAAACTAGATTACAAAAACCACGTAGAGGTGTATGTACTAAATGGATGTCTCGCTTAAAACCAGGTAAACCAATCACCACAATAACCAAATCTTTTACACGTTTATAGTAACTTATGGATTTGAATTATATAGGAGAATGTGAAATCCCTGTTATAATTACAAGAGGAACTATGCGGCTACCTAGTTCGATATCCACTCCCGTTATTTTTATTGGACCAGGTCTGTAACTTTTCATAACTTTCCTTCAATTTTCAAAATTTCAAGAACATAAATTTACAGAGTAGTTTATTTAGGAACTGGAGTTTCTGTTATGCGAGCTTTCTTGGAAGATCGGATATATGAAGGCGCAACGGGTAATATATATTTCTAAGTTTGTTATGTTCATACTTTGATGAATTGAATTGTGAATCATTCTTTTATGTAGAAAACTATTTGTTTTTCGGTTGTAGGAATCGTGATAAAGATTTTTATTATAAAGAACAATGGAACCGTTATGTAAATGAAGGAAAGCTAAAATTATTTGTAGCCTTTTCTCGAGACCAAGTAAGGGTAATTTTATTTCATTTCAGTTTACTTTATAAAAATTGATTATTAACATTCATTTATTTAAGGATAACGTACGGTATGTTCAACATGTTTTGAAAGAAAATGCAAATTTAGTTTATGATATTCTATATAATCGTGGAGGGTATGTTTATATATCAGGGTGAGTGATTATTCAGAATCTTTTTTTGTGTTTTTTAGAAAATTTTTAATGTTTTTTTTTTTGATCTTTTTATTAATTCTTATTATTTCATTTAATGGAACAGGAGATCTGATAAAATGCCTGATGATGTTATGGAGGCATTTAAATCTATATTAATATCTGAAGGTGAAATGACTAATGAGCAGGCTGATAGATATATGTTTATGATCGAAAGGACTAAAAGATATCAACAAGAAGTTTGGTGATTCTCGTGATTAATCTTTTAACTTATCCTATAAATTTAATAAGAAAAAAAAGTGCGTGGCAGAATACTTTTTGAAACCATCAGAGTCGTGATAAATGCAAATATCCGTACAAATTTCCATTTGATAAATTTTCAAACCTGTATTTCAGAGTACACTTAAGCAATTATACAGAATCGAAAAAAAAATTATTATTATTTGTCTTGAAGATAAATATCAAATCAAAATTTTTTATTTTTTAATTTAAAGGTTAAAAATATCAGACACATTAATATATAAATATATTTTTTGTTTAATATTTTAATAAATATATTCATTTATTTTCATAAAACGCAAATAAAATAGTAATACAATTAAATGGGAGGATTTCTAGGAAAATCAGGTTCCGAGAAATTTTTGACTAAAATTAAGGAATTTAATACATTTTAATCCAAAATTAAAATGCAATAAAAATCTCAATTTTTGTTAAAAATTTCCTAGAACCTGATTTTCCTAGCAATCAACCCATATGTTATTTTAAAAGTATCTATTTTTAAATAGATAGAAAATAAAGATTCTCAAGAAATGTTTATTATTCTTAATCCAAATTTAAAACTTCCAATATAGTAGTAAAATTTTAACTAATACTAATTTAGATATTATTCAATCAATTAAAAAATATGTAAAAGAGAATAGTATTGAAGTATTATTAATATTAAATAGATAAATGAATGTGATAAATCAAAATTTATTAAGTAATATCTTAATAATATCTAATGATGAAATACTTGTTTGAAAAACAGAAGATATAAGTATAGATTGAAATTGAAAAAAAAAAATTAAAGTAAAAATTAAAGAATTAACTAAAAGTATAAAAAATGCTAATATTAAAATTTTAGCAATTATTACAAATAGTGTTATTTAATATACAAATGTTAGGTAAGTTATAAAAAAGAATAAAAAAAATTTTAATTATCAATATTTATTAAATATTTACTTTAAATCCTTCATCCTGATATTATATACTTTCTATATTTTAACCATCAGGTTAACTTTTATATAGCTAAATTGCAAAAAATACCAATAAAATTATAACTTATTTTACTTTAAAATTGCACACATATTTATTGATAAACTTCATAATAAATAGTAAATTATAAACCTGTTAATTTAAAAATTCAAAATTAATTGTATCTACTATCAGATTTATGTTAATCAATAAATAATAACAATTTTTGGATAATTAGAAAAATTTGCTTTTATTTTTATGTAAATATTTAAATAACTTATAAAGAAATAAAGCTCGTCTATTTAAAGTTTTACATTTATTTAACTATTTTTATAAATTATTTAATAATTTAAAAAATGATAATTTTTCTATTCAAATGTATAGATATTTTCAAAATTTATAGAAAACTTAGAAGTAGTTTTTTTATTTATTCTTTATTTAAATTATCAATTTGATAAATTTATTAAAACTTTATTTAATTTAAATTGGTTTGATTTTAATCAATGATTAATCTATTATTATTATGTTTGAATATAAAGACTTGTATAAGTTCAAATTTTGAAGCCTGATCCAGTTCAGACTTTAAGCCAAGAATTAAATACCAGCCCAGCCTAGCCTTAATTATAATTATTGACGATACAATCAGTAGTGGCTAAATTTTAATTACAACTAATTTTAAAAGTTGCGAGACATGTAAATATTAGTTATCAGCACTGTTAGATTTTTCAGAAATGTCAAAAATATCAATACTAATCAAATAATTAAAAATTTTTCAGCGTTAATCAAATTACAGTATTAACGTCAAAAATTACTATGAATATTATTTTTCTGACTTTATGTATTTTAAAAATCCTTTAAATAAACATAAACAATCTTTATCATAAGTATTTTTACATAATAAACAAATGAGACAAATTGGACTTGCATTTAAATGAAAGTTTAATGAACTATTCATTATTAAAGTTAAATAATATGAATATGTTTTATAAATTTGATTAGAGCTGAGAATTTCTAATTATTTGATTGGTACTAATATTTTTAAACAATTCGACAGTGTCAATAAATTAAATTTACATATCCTGCAACTTTTGAAATTAGCTGTAAATAATAATTTTTGCCAAAATTATAAAAAAATCTGGGTTAGTATCTACTGATCTGAAAAATTTTTTAATTTATATTTGTCAGCTAGTACTTAGCCTGAAACTCAGGTCTAGGCCAGATTTCCATACTAGACCCAACCTATTGCAAATCTCTATTTGAATATAAAGAAATCTAAAAATATACTTTATAAATTTTATTATATCAAAATTAATCTTATTCTTTAAATAATGCAACTTTATAGCAATTTAAAAGTAATATTTTATAATATTAGAATTTGTTTATCTAAAATAAAAGAATTATATTTTATTACAACATAAATTGTTAGTATATATATTATAGTAGTGATCATAAGTATCTAACTGCTCGAGATTATTCAAAATTATTATGTAACTATCTCTCAAATTTTTCAGAAATATATATAACACAATATATGATCACCTGTAAATTTATAAGTATTAAAAATATAAAAAAATTTAGATGATTATCAAACTTTCACTTGAAAAATGAAGCTTTCTTTAGAAAAATGATATGAAATTGTTTTTTTTACATAAGCATCCAGCTGGTCTAAAGTTTAGTTTTAGATTTATTGTAAATAAGTACATTATAATAAATCTACAGCTATTTATTAAGTTAAAAGATATCATGAAAATCAGGACCTAAGTATTTTAGAAAGACTAGATCAACCTTATATAATAACTGTGAAACAAGATAATAAAATTGTAAAGATGGTAGAAAATGAATATAATATAATAGTAAATACAAGAAAAATAAAAGAAAGAAGTATTAAGCTTAGTGTAGAAACAGTAAGTTGCCATCTTTGTAAGTCTGGATAAAAGTTTAGTAATAAAATTTCTAAACCTTTGCTTAAAAAAGATCATTAAAAAAAAAGATTGTAATAGACAAAAAAAATAAGAATTTTGATTAGAATCAAGTTATTTTTACAGATGAGAGTATATTTTAATTATATACATTAAAAAAAAGGTTTAACAATTTCCTAATAGAAAAAGTATTTTGTTCTATTAAGCATCCACTAAAAATTTATATTTAAAAATATTTTTCTGCTTCTGAATTTGATAAGTTATTTTGCTTTTAAAAGAACTTTAATGCTAAATTTATGTGTATTATTTATGAACAGAGTCTTTTGACTTTTATCTCTAAACTTTTTAGTAAAGGTAATATAGATTGAATCTTACAAAAAGATAATGATCCAAAATATTGATTAAAAATCATAAAAAATAGAAGGAAAAATATGGTATTGAGGTATTTTTTTAGCCATCAATATTTTCAGATTAAAATCCTATAGAAAATATTTAGAGGTTAATGAAAATAATATACAAAAAAAAATTCAATCAATTAGAGGATTAAAGAGGAAACTTACAAAAGAATAGAACTGATTATTACCTATATTTGCTGTGAATTTGATAGCTAGTATGAAAAATATACAGCTGCACTTATAGAGTCAGATGGTGATTATATAATGTATTAATTTTAGTTAGTTATGTATTTTTTAAATAAAAAAATTTTTTGAATTTACTTACTTATAACTAGAGTTAAAATCAGTTAAATACTTATGACTATTACTATAATATAATTTTAGTAAAAAAATTATGATCTACAATAAGTTTTTATATACTTTAAAATGAAATAGATTGCAAATAAATTTATTATTAGATTTTTTTTATATTAATTCTTTTATTAATATTAATTATAAAATATTTAATATAAAATAATATTATTAATTACTTAAATTTAAAAGGTAATAAATTAACTATATCAAAATTATGAACTTGAACATTTAAAAATATATATCATTCTATTTTAGTAAGATTTTTGAATTTAGAATATTATTATACAGGTCAATTGTGAAATCTATCAATTGAAAATAGATTTTAATGTATATAGTAAAGTTTTAGGTATCTGAAGGATAACAATTTATGTTAACAATCCTAAAGTCTTGTTTGTATTAATAGAATTATCAATGTAAATTATTACAATCAATATATATATTTATATAGGAGAGCTATAATGATAGATTGAGTTTTATGTTACGAGTTTAACTAATTAAAATTATAAGGTAAAAGGTTAGTTTTATTAATTAGAGAAATTGGGATCAATATCATTCAATAATTTAAATAAGCTCTTGTTTACGAACTTACAAAATTAAAGAATAAACAATAAACTAAATTATAACAAACTGTATTAGAAAAATTATCTAATAACTAACTTAAAACTAACTGTAAACTTGACTTCACTAACTGGCTATAAAACTAACTATAAAATTAACTTGAATAAAACTAACTGATTAGAAACTAACTATAAAACTGACTTATGAGAATACATAAAATTGCTATCCTATTTATATAAAACTTTAGATCTAATTTTATTACTAAATTAAGATAAAATATAACTTAATAAACTATAGAAATATTGTAAATATTATTAACCTAATTAATAAGTTTAATTAAATAAACTATATTAACTATATAAACATTTTTAACTCCATTTTTTTTGACTTTTAATGATGTAGTACTGTTATGAATTTATAAATATAGATTTATTATTTTAAATGTACTAATTAATAAAAAGAAAAGAATACAAATAAAAAATCTAAAATTAAATTGCAGCTACCCCTATGACTCTATTTTCAAACATATTTAAGTTGACTAATCATTGGCTATCTCCTCTAAAACTCTCACTAGAACTATTTCTAATGAGCAACCTATCAATAAAGAAAGCAAGCAAAATTGTCAATATCACAATGCTTTTCCTTTAACTAACCACTAATCCTCTAATCAACAAAAAATTTATATCTTTCAGAACAAACGAATCTAAGATTAGTTTTTGAAAAAAAGATTAAAAATGATAATCGACTCCAACAAGTTCCTTGTTAAATTACCTAGTTAATTTTTGGTTATAGCAACTTCTTATAATAGGAGTACTTATAATCACTAAGTTCTATTAAAGGCTCTCAAACTTCTAAGTATAAAAACACTCAATTGCGAAAAATTGAAAAATTCTACTAAAATTAACGAACTCTTATGACATCATAGATCTTTAAAAGAATGTTATTATTTATGAAGGTAATTGGATAGTCTTTTTTTTTAAAATGCGGTAATTCTGCAAATCTTTATTATGAGAGTAAATATATAAAAATAAAATACAAATCAAAGAAATTACAGAAATCTTGTATAGAACTAATCTATAACTAAACTATAGAAGATTGACCTTGCATTCTTCTAAAATCAAAATTTAACTTAGATTAAAAAGATCATCTTTTGAGTAAGAAAAGAAAGTACTTTAAAGAAGATGAAACCACTATTACACTAAAAATTCAACTAATAGAATTCCATCTAAGTAATTAGATAGTCATCATGTAAGATTTGTTTATGCTTAAAGTTATGTTAATTATATTGATCCTGATCATCATTTCAGATACTCCTCAATACTCACTTTTTGTAGGCAAAAAAAGAAAAAGGAAACAAACAAGAAAAATATTTGAGAAAAGTGACGAAAAAATATTTTAACAAAAAAAACATCACTGTTTAGACTAACAATGAAATATTTTTTGATTAAAGGTATGAGAAATAAAAAGAGGAAAATTTTTGAAAAGGAAAGTTTTGTTTTTTATTTGCAGGCTAAGCCGTAACTGTCCTTGAACGTACATGTTTTTTACATAAAAATTCTTAGACAAAATCCAATGAAAAAGAATTTTTAAATTATATTTAACTCCTTTTTTGACTTTTAATGATGTAGTACTGCCACGAGTTTATTAAAAAGATTTATCATTTTAAAAGTATTAATCTAAGTAAAACTAAGCAAAAATACAAATAAGAAATCTAAAACTAAATGCAACTACTCCTCATGACTCTATTTCAAACCCGTTTGAGTTGACCAATTACTGGCTATCCCTTCCAAGAAGTTCACTAAAACCATTTCTAATAAATAACCTATCAATGAAAAAAGCAAGCAAAATTGTCAATATCATAATGCTTTCCTTTAACTAATCACTAATCCTCTAATCAACAAAGTATTTAACATCTTTCAGAATAAATGAATTTAAGATCAGTTTTTAAAAAAAGAAAGATTAAATAAGACAACTAACTTTAACAAGTTCCTAACTAAAATTGCCTGATTAATTCCTAGTTACAGCGACTTCTTATAATAGGAACGTCTATAAACACTAAGTTCTATTAGAGGTTCTTCATTATTCTCAAACTTCTATGTTAGTTATGTTAGTATATTTGTTGATTCAGATTACAACTGTCAGCAAAAGCATAGAGTTCAAAACATATAGTTGTGAGAACTGGAAAATTTTATTAAGTTCAACAGACTCTATAATATCAGAAATCTAAAAAAGAGTATTATTATTTATGAAGATAATTAGATAGTTATCACGTAAAATTTATTTACGCTTAAAGTATTATTGATTCTGATTATCATTTTAGATACTTCTTGATGTTCACTTTTTGTAAACAAAAAAGAAAAAGGAAAATAAATGAAAAAAATATTCAAGAGAAGTGATAAAAAAATATTTTAACAAAAAAATATTACCGTTTGGACTAACTGCAAAGTATTTTTTAATTGAGAGTATAGGAAATAAAAAAAGAAAAAATTTTGAAAAAGGAAATTTTTATTTTTGTTCGCAGGCTAAACTATAACTGCCTTTGAATGAACACATTTTTTACATAAAAATTCTTAGATAAAATTCAACGAGAAAGAGTTTACTTTACATATTTAGCTTTGTTAATGACATTATTATTATTTTTATTATTTTTATAATTTTGGCCAGTTAATCGCTAATTCATATTAAAAAATTATAGCTCTATATGGTAATGATCTATAGAATTATACTTGACATTTATTCTAAAATATCTTGTTATCTATTGGTCTAAACAGGTCAAGCTTATATTTATTAGAAAGCTCTTATTAAGACAATTCTAATAATACTATTTTTATTAAAATATTGATTATTAATTCAAGAGTTATTCTATTTAACAATATAATAATTATAATTTAGAATCTGATGATAATGATTCAAATTATGAAAAAGAATTTAATAATAATAAAAAATAATACAAAAATTGGAAATTTACTTTAAGAGTAAAGTATATATCAATCATTTCTATTAGTAGATCATTACTTAAATGCTATGTGATTTTTGTACTAAACTAAATTTATTCAAAAAATGCCAAAGAGAACTCTACACTATCGCTAACAGCCTTTTAAGAACCCTTAGTTATTGTTTATGTAAGAAAACTTTATACAGTTGAAACTCTTTATAATGAATCTTAATTTCTGGAGATTACAATTCATTATAATGAGAGAATTCAGTAACATTTTATCAAATTTTATAAATTTATTCATTTTATAAAAATACTGAATATCATATCCAAATTTAATATAGAAATTTACTATTTTTTTATTGATTATAATATACTCAACATAACTTTATTACAAATAAAATTGCAAAAAAAAAAAATCGTAAAAAAATCATTTCCTACAAATAATCAAATAAACCCTATTATTCTTCATTAGTATTAATCTTATTTATATTTCTCAAACATGAATCTAATGTAGCTTGGTGTTTTGAATGGAACTTTTTCCATTCTACTATTTTTCGTAACTTTTTTACTGCTCAGATTTGATCTTTTGAAAACTCAACTTTATCAGATTTTAGTTCTGTATATATGATTCTTTTATTTAGTACTGCTAATGCTTCATGATTACTAATAATTGAAATTTCTGGTTCTTTAATATTTAGTTTCTCTTCTGGTTCTTTTATTAATTCTATAATTTTATCATCAGTTAACATCTGATAGAATGTTTCTTCTTTTTCACATTGTAAATATTTTTCAGCAGAGATCAGATTTTTATATACATTAGAAGTTAATTGATCAATAAAATCTTATATTTTATTGATTTCATCATATTCAGTAAAATCTATAAAATCAATATCAAGGCTTTCATCATCAATATTTAGTAGAAGAATACTCATTTTTTTCTAACAATTTATGATCATTTCTGGTTGAACTAAGTTTCATATTTTTGCTGCATATTTAATTGCTTTCTTAATTGTAATGTTAGATATAGGTTGACCAGTTTCTTGATTATGATCAAATTCTTTAATATAATTTTGCAAAAATAACCTCCTGTATTGTACCTATTAATAAATTAAATATTGGTAAGTTGATTTTTTTTTATAACATAATTTTATTAAAATTATTTACTTTAAAACTTCTAATTATTCCAGTATTACATAGTTGTAGGTATGCAGTTATATTAGAAGGTAATTTATGAAGACAAATATTAGAAAGTGTGATATTTTTATGTAAGATATAAGTAAATGTATTATCATAAAGTAAGATTATGTGACGATTTTAAAGTCTTAAATGTGCATCAAAAAGTTTGAGCCAATTATTCCAGATACTAACTTGTATATAAGCTGTTTTATTCCAATAATATTATACTAGTAATGATAACTTTGAAATATGTTTTAAAGTATGTGAATTTTGATTTTTTTCAATAAAAACTGGTTTAAATTTTTCAATTCTTGAAGCATTACAACATAATGTAACAGTAATCTGTTTTTTAAATTGTTTTTAACTTGTAACTAAATATAAGTATTATTATTTAACTTTTTATATAATTATTATATTAATTTATACTAATTAACATTATTTTTTACCTGGTCCATTTGATAAAGTACAATTTGATTCCATTTTTCAATAAAGTCTAGTTTCATCTATATTAAATATATTATTAGATGAATATTCTTTAAGAATATTTTGAAGATTTTATGTATATCATTCAGATCTTCTAAAGGAGCATTTGTTACTTCTTTATGTCTTAAATAATATTCAAGATTATGACATTTTTTAAAACCTGCCAACCATCCATCTAATCCTTTAAATCTTGTATATCAAATAATGTTGCAAAATCATGTGCTTTTTGTACTAATAATTCACTACTAATAGTAATATTATTATCTATTATCTTTTTAACTCAAAAGCCTAAAGCTTCTTCAATTTGTAGAAAATGTAGTTTAATTTTTCTTTTAAGTGAGACTTCATTAGACTTCAATCTTAAAGCTAACTATTTTTCTTTTTCTTTTAAAATGTTATATATCATTCCTTCTGAAACACCAAATTCTTTAGCAAGTTCTTTATTCTTAGATGTTGATTTTTATAACTTCTTTAAATAAACTTCCTGTTTTTAAGCACCTATAAGAGAAGTTCTAGTTCGTTTACCTTCAGAAATATTTTTAGAAAAGATTTTCTTATTTCATTAAGAATTTTAAATAAAAGCTAATTAAGAAAAAATTATAAAATCGATTTGGATGTTTAAATCATTTAATAAAGTTTTACAAATGCAAAATTTCCTTTAGTAGTAATTTAAAAAAATTCAGTATATCCCTTAAATTTATTAAAAAAATTTGTTAACAAAAGCTTTATTTACTATATTATATATAGGATCGTTAATTAGTTATACATAATAGCAAGATTTATTATAAAAATTCATTATATACAAATATTTTACTTAATAAAATTTGGAACTGCTCATGTGATTCATAATAGCCAAAAATTCAGAATAAAAAAATTTGTTATAAACAGCTTCAACTATACTATTTGGTTATTTTGTATTTAAAATAATAAAAATAAGACATAGTAACTTTTAAATAAGCGGAATTTTTTCGAATGAAAAAAACTTTATTAGTAAAAATACAAAGTAATATAAGTTACTTGAAAACACTTTATTTTGCTATATATATGTACTATCTACATCTTATTTGCAAGTAGTTGTATTTTGGTTAATATATAAAAGACATCGAAAGGGTTGAAATAAAAAAAATTAAATTTTAAAAAGTAAAAATTTTAAAAATAGAAAAAAGAGAAGAAATAAAAATGGTTTAAAAAAAATTCTAAAAGATTTCTTATAAAAATGTTTTGTAGAAAAGATTTTTTTTTAGTTTTTGAAGGAAAAATTTGTTTAAATATCAATTTAGTTAACATTATAGTAACTATTTTATTATATTATTTATTAGATAATACTTTCTAAATAGTATACAATACTTATTACCTAAAATCTTGATAATTTATATGCCATTAAACGTGAAAATAGCAGTTAGGTAGTAGTCAATTACTCTGCTGGTCTTTGTGTTTTAGATTTACATAATGAAGCAAAAGTATTTGATTTCTTCATAAAAGATATTTTAACAGCTGAGAAACAAAATCATAATGCTGATTATATATTCATCTACAACTAAGAAGCTGAATGATCATTAATACCATTGTTACTTGGATATGTAGTTTTCACTTCTGCAGGCAAAAAGTAGTTCAAATTGTCAATTCAGGAGAATAACAAACAGTTATTTTTCTTTTGGAAAGAGTTTGATTCTAATGTATTATATGCTAAAAAAAAAATACAAGGTGTTGAATAACTTGCATTTCATTATTTATTAAAAAAAATATGATCTTGATTCAAATACTTCTCTTTAATCATTTCTTGGTTTCTATAACTCTCAAGTTATTATAAAACTTCAACGACTTGTTTATGAAAAGTTCACTTTATGATATCTAACTATTTTTTAACAAGAAACTTCAATTATACCTTTATTAGAAAATTTATGTCAAATAAATATAAAGAAAAAAAAACATGTCATAGTTTGAAGAAAAGACAAGAAAAAATCAATTATATTATTGTGAACGGGTAAATGTGACACAGAAGATCGATCGATTTGACATAAGTGATATATATGATATGTCAGACATATGTGGCATAGCTGATATATTAGACATAGTTGACATATTAGATATAGTTGATATATTAAACATAGTTAATATGTTAGACATAGTTGACATATTAGACATGTTAGTTATATTCATCTATGTAATTTATTTTATATAAATAGGTAGCCTTTTAGTTCATGTAAAGAGAGAGACAGATAGGAACTCGACAAGTTAGTTTTAGTAGTTTTAAAGGCAACTGGCCTACCGCGTTACATTCTAGTTTTAGTAATTTGTTTCTTTTCTTTTCTTATTTTATTTTCTTATTTTCTTCTATCTCTTTTCTTTTATTTCTATTATCTTACTCGTGAATAAATACATTATTTTATAAATACAAATCATTGGCAATCTGTTAAATTACTGCTTGACGAAATAGTATCAATACTTTGATAAACAGCCTAAATAAACTTTGTTAATTATTGAAAGATTACTGCTCAATTAAAAAGAATAAACTGCTCAAACATCCCGTCTAACAGTTGTAATTCGCAAGAATTACACATTAACATTTAGCGACGACAACAGGACCATCTTTTCCTAATTGGCGCAGTAATAATCCATGCAAAATACTCCATAAACAACTTTAGAGAATTAATTAAATATTAACGAAACCATTCAGCTATACACAATAAGTCAGAGCGTAACTTTAGGAAAACTACTAGTGATACTTTAACCAACGATCCATCTTGCATTGCTTTTAATCCACCCCCTAAGGAGATTCCTCAATCTTTTCTCAATTTCTTTGATTGGGCACAAAAAGTCTTAGGAGCACTATTATATACTAGTAAAAGTTTATAAGTCTTTTAAACTGCAGTCTCTGTGGAAATTACTGGTACACAAGAAATATATTATAAACAAACATTTAGAACTTTGAGATATAAACAAGTACCAATACCAACTTTTGAGCAAGCCATTGAATATTGTATTCAGGCTCAAATTGAAACTGAATCATTCCAAAAGAAATACCAAAGCGATTTACTTAATCATCTCGATATATCCCTCTTAACTATAAGTCGTAATTCTTCTTCATCCAAAATGAATAAATCCCAAATAACTCGCAGAAATAGTACTGCGTCTGAGTCAGCAAAAGAAAATCAACCCCTTCAAGGAATTTATTCACCTAATGAGACTATCATTGCAAATACTACTTCAAGTGGAAAGGACCCTGATAAACGAACTTTGAGCTTCGATAACTCTGCCTTCAGTTCTCGCGGAGGAATTGGAAAACCCCCTAAGCTGACCTATACGGGATTCTCTGACGAGAAAGATGTAATTTCTGACCAAAAGAATGATAGCTCTTCGCGTTCCTTTAAATCAAAAGCCAGTCAAGACTAATCTAAAGATAAAAAGTCGAAGGACAAGAGGACTAGCAAACGGAAGAGCCGTTATTCTATATCTTACTATGATGATCTGTCATCTTCTTTCAGTTCTGATTCGAGTGATCATAAATCTGATGACAATGAAGAAGAGGACCCATTTGATGAAAATAGCACGAATGATCAGGACGAACTAAACTTCTTTCACATGATGAAAGGATTGCAAACTGTCTTCAAAACTGTTGGATTTGGAGGATAACGGAAAGGAGACCAGGACCCTTGAGATTGGTTGAAGCGATATAATAATGCTGGAGATGCGAATGGAATTTTCGACAGACGGCGTCTCACCTTAGTTCCATCATTCTTGAAAAGATCAGCCCTTACTTGGTATAATAAGACAAAGAATGAAAAGACTTGCGATATTGGGATAATTCGATTGATCGACAACATAAATATTGCTCCTTTATTTATCATTTTTTGAAACATTACTGTACAACTCATCAGAGAACGCAATAGCGTTTGGCACTTAGACAATGTAAACAATAACCTGGACAGTCCGTCGAGGACTACGCTGCCGATGTTGAATCATTATACCTTAAATTAGATCCTGATTATAATATACCAGAAGATGAAAAAATTGAACAATTCTTACAAGATCTTTGCCCAGAATTTCATACTGCTATCGCTGCCGCTGCATCTCGTGATTTAGAAGAAGC